ATTAGTAACATGCAAATACACTATAATAAAATATCTTTTATCACTTAAAGTTGTTAATTACTAACCAGAAATAAAACAACTCAATTCTTTCTACTAATGTTAAAAAAATTCACTGATAAAAATAAATAAGGCCATAGAATATAAGGGAATTGCTAACCTTTGATATTTAAACATTCTGGTAATTTTTGACTATTTAATATCAACTCAGTAATAAAGTGTTAATACTAAATTAGGAGATTATATATCTCTATATACATATTTATATAAACTTAAGAAGGAATTGAAAAATACATATAAATATTTCCAAAAGCATCCACTGCAGGGAAGAAAGTATACAATGAGCCAGAAATAAATATATTTTTATAATACATAATTACTTAAAATAAAGTTTGAGTTACATTTTTATTGCATTTGTCAAATTTCTAAAATTATACATGTAGATAGAATTTATTTATTTATTTTTTCAAATCAAATTGGTAGGACAGTTTCAATAGTAACACACTGCCTATATTCTTCCGAGTTATGTAGAATTTATAAAATAAAAGTAGCAAGATAATCTAAGAAAACTTAAAACTTTCCCAGTAGATAAATAAAATGGCATTACAGAAAATGGCTGCAAAATTAAGCATGTCTACTGAATGAATGTCTTAAGAAAAACAGACAAGTGAAGAAAACCCAGAACTGTATCAGACTTATATAATCTATAAATAGCTTACAAGTAGGCAGAGTACAAGTAGTCTGAAACCTACTTCAGACTCAAAAGTTTAAAAACATTTTCTCAGTTCACAGACCAGATAAAGACGTCAGTGTATATGTGTGATTTCCAGCTACACATTGGTGGAATAGTAATTTCTTTGAGGTTTGAATAAATTTAATTTGAGTTTTATAAACTCTTACTATGCTAACCTGGGAAGTTTGGCCAAAGTAATTGGAAATGTGTGTCCCTGAGGGAGAAAACAAAGATATTGACAACAACTAGTTACTCACAATTGTTTTTCTTTATTACATAAACTGAAAGTGTCAACCATACTTAATAAATATGACTATCCTGAAGACCTGTTACCTTCCAAAGTTGATTATTTATTTCTTCTATATTTTGCATTGGTATGTTTTAAGAACTGCTTTATGCATCATTCACTTTGCAACAAATATACAGAAAATGAGAAGTCATTAAATAACTGGCATTCAACAACTATCTCACTTCTCATAAAAGATACTGAGAAGATAAAATATTAATGTTGTCATCATTAATTTTTGACTTCAGGAGCTAGTCAGACTTCTGCATACTATGGTGTCCATGTCTTTCAAAATTCTAACACTACATGTTACCTGAACTGTTCATAACATCCTGCTGGCCTGATACTTGCAGCTCGGTCATTAGGAAAAGCCATCAGTGCACCTTTCATTGACTTTGTATTTGACTTCTGATCATGAAGGTGTGTCCTTGTTGATCGAAGCATTGCTACAGGTGCATAATTCTTATATTTTTTCAAGTCTTTAGCAACAAACAGTCCCGTGGGATTACTGATTAAAGGGGATATACCTTTGTAGAATTAAATAGAATATATATGATAATCTGAATTACAGCTTTGAAAATGATAGCCATTAATGAATCAACACACAAGATAATTGGATTTAATGTGAATGCTAAACCAAAAAGCAACATGTTCTAGGCTGGGAAGATAGCTCAGTAGAATAGAGCACTTGCCTGGCAAGCACAAGAACCTGAGTTCAATCCCCAGTTCTCAAAAAAAGGCAACATGTTCAGATAATACAAATTAATATGTGGACCTATATAGTGCTAATCCTAAAATAAATAATGCAATGAAAAATTAAAATGATTCATACAAAACAAATTCCTATGCTTGGAAAAAACTGTATATCAATTATTAAACAAGGTTCAATACATAAAACATGGTAGAGAAGTGGATAAAATACCAGCAATAAGAAAATCTATGGAATAATGAAAACGAACAGTATAGTATAGATTCAAGCACAATAGCAGAAATAATAAAATAAAAAGCTAAAAAATATTTCAGGAGTTGCATAGGTAACTAAGTCAAAAGTGCGACCCTCAGAATTGTAAGAGTATCTGTTAAGACACTGGCAGAAACACAAATCTTTGGGCCTCAATTTAGACCTACTAAATATTTAAAAATTAATAACATAAAATGTATATATTTGGAAAGGCTTTCTACATAACTTTAATTCATGCTAACAGCTAAGAAAGTTAAATATTAGCATACCAGGATTGACTTTCATCACAACTTTTTCTGTGCAACCTTTACAGGTGCTTTTGAAAGTTAAATTTATGTGATAAAATGGTTTCATTGATGTAGACTGCAAATTTTTGTCTGCCACTGGACCAATAACTTGTATTGCCTGTTTCATTTTAAAGGTTCCAATTTGATGTGGGACAAATGAAAATGTCATAGGCTATAAAAAGAAGAGGAAAAGTAATCAATATTCTATTTTTAAGAGATAATAAAAGTAAAACCATGAATACTTTATTTTAATTGTAAGGAATACTACTTCATCACGGTGATATGAACATGCCTTATGCACATTCAGCATTGACACACTTAAGATATTTATTATAGGAAATTTACTTATGAGAAATTAAGAATATAGTACAAATCATTTTTAAAAATTGTAGATTAAGGATCTCCAAAAATCTACTTTTCCATAAATAATAGATAACTCTGGCCAAAAAAATCCTTATGCCAAAATATGAACTTTATCAGGTATTTCAAAATGATATAAAATTTTGCCAAACCAAGGAGTTTTTTTTAATTTAATGAATCTCTGAAAGAAGACAAGCATCATGACATTTTTACTTGCTGTAATCCTATTTTTCTAAAATAAGCTTTATAATTTTTTCTATAAAAATGAAAGCAAACAAAAAAATAGCACAGCAATTCTGGGGGCTGTGAGAAATGATTAGCTTAGTAACCAAAAGAGGGAAAAGAATAGTTCAAAAGTTTCCAAAAGTACCATCTCTAGGTCACTCTGTATGATTTTATTTTTAATAACATAGTAATATGAAGTGAAATCATCATTTAACCTTAAAAAGAAGCTAAAAGAAAATTAATGTTTAAATAAATTAGAAAAACACTTGAGAAAGATATAATTACATGGTGTTCCAAAAACATTGATATTTTTCCAAGAATATACATTTCCACCACATCTGTAAGACTTACTATGTGAGAAAGTTCTAATCTGAGAAAGTTCTAATCTCTTACCTCTAGCTGACTTTGAAGCTCATTACAAGGATGAATTGAAAGCTATAAAGAATTGTACATTTTAAAAATAAAGAATTTTATGCTATCTGCCAAAACACTGAAGACATCTCTTGACAGACTTCCACAAAGGATCTTTTCAATTATTATGTGAATATTTACTTACCTCAGTAGATAGCTTATTGACTACACACAATAAAAAATACAACCAAGATTAGCCTCACGGATCACTGAATGAAAAAAATAACTACTAAAAAAAGCAACAATGAACCTCATTGTGATATGATTTTGAGACATTAAAAATATATTTAAATTTCTGTTTTCAACAGATACTTATGAAGCAACTAAATAAAGAGAAAGATAGGCCAATCCACAGGAAAAGCACAGTAATAGATAATGTCACTAAGAAATTCAAATGTTGAGCATATTAGACAAAGATAGTAAGTCAACTATTATAAATTTACTCATTGAACTAATACAGAATGGGTTTAAAGAATTAAACGAAGTGTGAGAAGAATGTGTCATTAAAAATAATATTGATAAAGTATAGAAATTATGAAAGCCCCCCCCCTTTTTATGTCTTGTCATAGATGGGTGTTCCACTGCAGTTAGAGAAGCTGTATTTGGAGATGTCTTTAAAAGACCTTTTCATACTTGTTTCCAGACTAAAGTTTATAAGTTCTTGAATTCAGCTAACTAATCCAGTACAGTTCAATAGTCCATAATAGTAATGTGTTATCAGCACAACTTGCAAGGGGGCTATAAATAAATGACCGTTTTGTTTTAAAGTCTATATCTATATCTATGTATACACAAGATAGGATAGATATACAACTGTTTTCTTCATTTGAGAAGAAAGATTTGTATTAATGTTATTTTAGACAAGATATCATGTCTGCATCTTGTCCTCTGAATAACTACAACAAAGATAACAATATGCAATGTATCAATGAATGTAACTGTCCTACTAACCTGTTTTGAAATTGTTTCATTGCTATTTTATTTTGTTCTCATTGAAATGAATAAAAAACTCAAATATACATAAACAAGAAATTATGAAAAAAATGTTCTCAAAAGTTTAGCAAATGAAATTTAAATCTTCACTATAAGAATAGCAGATCTGAACTAATAAACAGTGGTTACTAAACTGGAAACAAGACATTTAAGTTTATTCAGTTTGAAGAAGAGAAACAAAAATGAACAAAAGAGACTCAGAAACTTTTGCGAGATCAATAAGAATAGTACCACATAAATGATAAAAGTCTTCAAAGAGAAGAAAAAAAAAATACTATTCAAAGAAATAAGGGCGGGGAACTTCAGAAACTTCATGAAAAATATAAACCTGTATGTCCAAGGAGCTCAACACTACACTGGATTATGGACAGATTATACCCAGACACATTGGAGTCAAATCAACAAAAACCAATGACAAGGAAAGAATCTTGAAGACATCAAAAAAAAATTGTAACTCACCACTTATAAGGGAATCTAATAAGATGAATACCTTACTTCTCATCAGAATCACTGGAAGTCTAGAAATCAATGGAAAATATACATTCAAATACTGTACTAAATGAAAATGCAGTCAGCCAAACGTTCTGTAAAGCAAAACTCTCAGTGAATACTGAAGTATGAATTAAGATATTTTTGATAAACATAAATAGAATGACTCAGTAATAAAGTACTAGAACAATACTAAGGAGAGTATTTTAGGAAACAATAAAAGAACAATTGAAATTTAGACAATTTAGGTAAATGTAATTACCTATATAAGTCAATGAAAAGACAGTATGATTATACATTTTGCTATTTCTTTATTAGTATGTTTGCAAATAATGCATAATTGTGGATGTCAGGCATTTTGTCCTAATAACTGGAAGGAGACTAGTACATTAGGTTACCTACAAGAACCCTAAGAAAGGACAAGTAATTGAAATATACCCAGAATGAAAGAGAAAAAAAAAAACACTTTATGCCAACTAATAAGATTTAATTAATAATCAAAAGATTTCTGAAAAGAAATATTCCACAATAAAATGAATTCAATGGTAAGTTCTATAAAAATTTAAAAAGAAAAAAAACAATTCCTCACAAATTTTTTAAAAACTTGAAGAGGTTGGAAGACAGTCCAATGTATTCTGTGTTAACAATTTCACTCTAAAGGCAAAACCAAAAGAATTTTGAAGGAGAAAATGTACAGTTCAATGTACCTTATGAACATATAGTGAAAATCCTCAATAAGAGACCCAGTCCTAGCCCAGGTCCAGTGCGTGTGTGGGAGAGCATCCTGCTACCCTGCGCCTGCGGGACCAGTCCCAGGCCAGGCACAGCATGGGCCAGACCCTCTCCCACCCCCTTGGGACGCCCCCCACCACTCTGCAGCACCTCCTCCACCCCGCCCGGCCAGCAGGAATTTCTGCCACATTACAGGAACCACCAGACCCAGTCGTAGCCCAGGTCTGGTGAGCGTGTGGGAGAGCTTCCTGCTACCCTGTGCCTGTGGGAACAGTCCCAGCCCAGGTGCAGCTTGGGCCAGACCCTTTCCCACCCCCTTGGGAGGCCCCCGACTTCTCCGCAGCACCTCTCCCACCCCGCCTGCCCAGTAGGAATTTCTGCCGCTTTCCAGGAACCCCCAGACACAGACCTAGCCCAGAACCAGTGAGTGTGAGGACGAGGTTCCTCTCCCCCCTACTCCACCTTGCCCCCTCCAGGCACAGCTCAGGCCTGGCATGTATGACTGGGGGGTAACCCTGTAGCTGCAATCCCTGCAGAGAGCATAGAGGATAGATCCACCCAGCTAGTCCAGGAGCAGAACATCTAGCCACAGGGGCACAACAGG